TGTATATATTAGCAAAGAACAAATAGAAAAATAACTTTTTTGTAATTTTTTTTCATTAAGCATACATTTTAATATTTTAATCTGGTTTGCTAGACCAAAGGTGCAATAAAAACACTGAATTCCAATTTCTGTATTAAAACATCTTAAGTTAATGCTACCTAAAGGCCAAAAGCACATTAATATTTCAGAGAAGGCATTTTAGACATTACACATTTCATCTCAATTCTGGTCATGAATTATTTCATCAAGTGACTGCTACATGTTCAATTGTAAGAGGTTAGTTTTCTACCAAAATGCAATTTAAAAAAAAATGCATAACAAATGCTGTCTTTGTAGTCAAATAGTTGCTTTTAAAAATATGCTTTTTAGGCATGCTATAAAAAGTGGGACGGTTTTGTTTTTGTTGTTTTGTTTTTGTGTGGTTATTTTCGTTTTGTTTTTGGAGCTGAGAGAACAGCCAAGCTTTTTAGGCAATCTTTTTACCCACTGGAGTCAGCAGAAGGGTGCCACCTGGTGGAAATGTGAGCAAATTCTAAACCTTGTCCGATTGACCATTAAAAAATATATATATATATGTATACACTCATTTAACAAACCTTGAGAGTCTCATCATCAGGGACAAGTGATGCAAAGATAAAAAAAAGTTCACATGAATTTATGAGGATCTATCTTGTTCTTTTTATATTAAATATATCAGCAGAATCATATTAAGTTAACTTTAAAATTTCCAGAGCTATCATTAACATGTATAGTTAAAGCTTTAAACAAACTATTCATCCATTTTACATTCAAGGTAAATTTGTGTGCACACACACACACATATACATATAATTAGCAATTATTTTCATTCTTACACTAGAAATATGCTGTATCGTGATTGTATAGAAGTTAAAAGGTGAGGCTTCAGGCCTCAATGAGATCCTGGCTAAGTCTCACCTCCACCACTTATAAAGGCAAGTTTGGCCAAGTTGCTTAACTTCCTTAATCCTCTATATTCTCATCTCTAAAATAGGAATAAAAATAGGACCCACCTCAAATAACTGCTTTGAGAATCAAATAGAAAAATACATTCAATAAATGTTACTTTATGAACTTTGAGAGTAGTACTCTGCCTGTGGTAAGCATTCAGGAAGTAATTTTTTACAATAATAATTACAATTAGCCACCTAAGTTCTTATGTGGCTTTCAATGTTAATTGAGATATTGATCATGTTAAGAAATGATTGTGCCTACTCATGTCCAAGCATTTGTTTTTAGACATTTCGTAAATGTGGAGTGCTATGAAAGCAACAAAAATTACTGTTACAAATATTTTTTAATCAAAGAATCTTTAAAAGAAAGATTATTAAGATAAAAATATTTCCAATGATTCAGAATATTCATAAAATATACAGTCCCTCATATTCTTGTTGTCACCATTCTCTAGGGAGGAACGGAATGTTCTCTTGCCATGGTACCCTGTGCCAGAGGACAGTGACAGATCAGATGAAACAGGAAGGTTGAGCCCTCTACAGGACTATAACAGTAACCAAATTAGATGGTTCATAACCACTTTTAGTTAGAGAAAGGATTATGGTCTTCCACGGTGCTATACATGAAAATAGGTGTTTGATGGCCTCAGGACAAGGCATCTTTGAGGTTTCATAAAAAATCTTTACCATAGAAAGTAGAAGACATTTTTGGCAACATGCAATAGCTTAAATCATTCAAAATCAATGCATAGTGGCTGATTTGCTGGAACCCTATTTAACCACTAGGTATAATTTCATAAAGGTACATTTTAATTTACATTTGTATTATTTTGAAAATATTATGGAATCCAGCACAACTAATCACATCTTTATGCAGCTATTAAATCTAGTATTGCATGAGAGTTGTGTGACTATTACAGAATTAAACCATAATGACTAATATGGCTAATAAAAGCTTAGTAGTCTTACAGAAAGTAGTTTAAGCCTTCACAAAAATAATTCACATTATTTGTCCATCATTTAATATGTCAAGCTTTGAAAAAATATACACTAGATATGGTTATTTTCTGGGAGTGCTTTGAAAACCCTCACTGTGATGCTGCCACGTATATTTCAGTTGACTTTCTTTGTAAAATCAGTCTATTTTATTTCAACACATGCATAAGATGCATAAAACTGACATTTTAAAATCATGTCAATACTCAGAAAGGCACTTAAACATACTCTATTAAAGCAAGAGTTCTGCAAAGTGGCCACTCCCTGAATATTTGAAGTGACTATTAAAAAATGCTCACTAACAAGAAAAATGGATTCGAGCTTGAACCTATCTCTTCATATGAATTTTAAGTATCAGGTTAATCCTGACAAAGGGATTTGTTGTGCATAGGCAGCGTGTCCACTATTTACACATACATTTTCAGCTTCTGTGTCCTCTGCTCTGCTTCTGTCTCCCCACTTCCACCATCACTGAACTGTTTGCAGCGCCTCAAGTAACCAGCTGGTGTCACAGGTTAGTGAGCAAAGATTTCATGTGGGGACTCTCACCTGACTAATCATTCCTATTCGTAGCATCATTCCAAGAGCAGTAGAGAGGCTCGGCGGCTTGTTAATGAAATTTAAGGGCTGTCAGCCTGAAAGAGGATGTTAAATCCGTGTTCCTGTCCTGAAATTATTTTTATATAACTGCTAACCAGTTTTTACATTCTCATGTGTGCTGGGGTTTGGGAGGAAGGGGTATAAAAGGAAGGGACCTATGATGTTTTAATATTTTCATACTTATCTCAGAGTATGGATCAAAGAGGATAGTTTAAGAAAACCAAAGCTTTGTAAAAACTGCCAACATTCAACCCCCTCCCACTAATAACCGGGAAGGGAGCTTTAACTCATTGAGTAATCCCCACCACCTGTGTGAAACATATGTGAGGGAAATGAGAAGGGGAGGGAAGGGGAGAAAACAGACCACAAGCCAGGAGAGATGACCAAGTCTGCAATGTTAATAACAGCATCCCTGGCACCGCCTCCTCGGCCTCGACACCACTCCTGGGCGATTTGGACAGCTCCCGTTAACAGGCTCTTTAGGGCTTAGAATAGGCGAAAAGCCGCTTTGCTGCCAGAGCCTAGCTGCGTGCTCTTCCTTCATCCCAGGCCAGCAATAATCTGGGAGCGTTTCTGCCAGGAACACATCCAACAGGCTTCGCAGAGCGCTCGGAGCAAAGATCCCTAACCCTCCTACCCCAGGGCTTGGGTCCTCCGGATCCACTGTTAATCCCTGACCTAAGTGCAGCGCTCTCTGCCCAGAGTCTCTAATTGATGTAAACGTGACCGCACCTCCATCAGGCTCAGCACAGCCGCCCTCCTCCTCCTCCTCCTCCACCTCCTTCTCGCCAGGCGTCTCAGCGCTCCCTTCCGACCCTCCAACTTTGGAAAAAGAGGGACACCGAACTCCCAAATCACCCCAAATCAGGGAAAAAGATGATGAGAGACGAGATGGGGATCCACAATCAAGCGGTTATGCTACAGATTTCTAACGACGAAA